AAAAAAAAAAAAAAGAAAACTGAAAATACCAGCCTGAGTAAGAGGAAGGCACCATCCCTACTAATAATAAAAAAACAAGCCAGGCACTGTGGTGGGCACTTATAGTCCCAGTGACATGGGAGGCTGAGACAAGAGGATCACTTAAGCCCCAGAGTGTGAAGTTGCTGTGAGCTATGATGATGCTATACCATTCTACCCAGGGCGACAGAGTGAGACTCTGTCTCAAAAAAAAAGAAAGAAAAAAAAATTAAACAAGTTTTCTGGGCATAAGTGGTGAGATGCATTTTGAACAATATTTATAGTGTGTGGAACAGTCTTTCTCAACCTTTTTTATCTCATGGCTTGCTTGAACCAATAGTGAAACTTCCATGGCACACTTAAATTACATTGATCAAAAAAAGAATATATTCACTGTGCTTTGAACTTCATGCAAACATAATTTAATCAATAATCTTTTAACATTTTTGTGGAACACCTAAGATCCTCTCCCTGCACCCCAGCTGAAAATCACTGGTCCATAGGCCTATGTACTTTGCTACTTACAGTATGCTTTGGGGATTATCCCAGCTTGAAGAAAATAAGTCTCATGCATCCAGCTTGCTTGCTTTCTTTCTTTCTTTCTTTTTTTTTTGCTGTTTTTGGCTAAGGCTAGGTTTGAACCCACCACATCCGGTATATGGGTATATGGGGCCAGCGCCCTACTCCTTTGAGCCACAGGCGCTGCCCATCCAGTTTTTCTTTTTGAAAGCATTCAGAAATGCATAGCTTTTTGACATGGCTGTACTATCAGGAACATAATCAGTGGCCTCAAATCATTGAACCTGTTGTAGATCAGTTTGGGTGTCACTGAGACATATGTGGTACCAGCTGTGTGATACTTATGTAAGATCGGCCACGTATGGGCTCATCATGGGCCGAGAAAAGACAAAAACTAGCCCTTCCCCAGAGATAATTTGAAAATCAGGACTGTAGGTTGTTCATTATTTGCCTACATAATCATTTTAAGAAAGTTTTATTTATATTAGCAATACGGAGCTGTTTCTCATTACTAGTGTATTTCCAAAATCATCATCACCTGTTTTCTGACTATATTATCCCGTTACGGGGCAGAAGAAGGTTAACTTTGTAACATTAGACAGCCTTCCACAAGGACAGCGGGACAACAGGGACATAGGAGGCACAAACGGTGAGCAAAGTAAGAAGGTGGGCTAAAGATGGATGGGACAAGCAGTGGAGGAGAGAGAGAGAAACAGCAAGCCATCTGAGTCTGGAATCTGTTACTGAAATAAGTGATCGATGTAAAAGACACAAACCCACATTTTCAATTCACGAAAATCCATGGAATGTTGGTCTTCAATGGGAAATTTTACCCAGAAGCTGAAGGACAATCTGGTTTGTATGACCAGTTTTTGTTTACATTTCTAGATTATTTTCACTGTGGTGATGTTTCCTGTTGTCCTTATCTGGAAGATGTTCTTAATTTTGGACATTTTCTCTTCCCATTTCAGATGACTACACGCTGCATGGCCCGATTTTCATTCAAGAGCCAAGTAATCTAATGTTCCCTTTGGATTCTGAGGAGAAAAAAGTGAAGCTCAATTGTGAAGTTAAAGGGAATCCAAAACCTCATATCAGGTTTGTTGATTTAAAAGCATGTGTTTCCATGCATGCAGTTTCTATTATTATAATCAACAAATGCTTATTGAATACTGATTATATAAATAGCTTTTAATCAGGCATCATCGGACATCCTGAGAAATCTAAGGAGATAATTGTTTCATGAAAAATTAAGTACCGTCCTCTGGTTTCAGCAGTACTTGGAATTAAATATTCTGATTGACCCTGTCATTGAAAACCTCATCTATTCCTAATAACATATTTTTAATAAAAAAAAAAACCCTACATTTTAAAACATGTCAGTAAGCTAGTATGAAAATAAAATATTCAAGTTTAAAAGTAAGTGGGTATGGAACCCAGAGAAGTAAGCTGAATATTTGAAGGCAGTTTTCCCTTGATGAACTACGTACGTGAATGGAGTTTTGGTTCTTGCAGCCTCACAGGGACTGAGGTCACCATACAGAGCAACCCACAAGAGACTCAGCTAACAAGAGAATATAATATGGTAACACCTCCCAGAATAAACCTGGGGCCTGAGGGCCCCTTCCTCCCTACTTTAAATGTGAATAACAAATAAGCTTGCCTTCTCAAGAGACTATATAAAGCACACAAGATTGCCTGTTTCAAACCTCAGTTCTGAGTAGTTGCAGTAGCAGAGGAGATACAGCTGAAAAGAGAATCATTAAACTGCAGGATAGGTCTGAAGAAATCATCCCATAACGGCAGCGACAAAGGGAAGCAAAACATTTGAGAGAGAGAACAAGTGAGGGATCAGAGTTTCAGAAAGGCAAGGACTAACTAGGCAGAGGCAATGTTTAAAGAGAAAGCTAAAAATTTTCCAAGCTCATTTAAAACTCCCTCTCTCTTACGACACATTAAGTAAGCCCAATGAACTTGAAGCCGTACAAATAAAAATGAAACCTCCCGTAGAACAGTGAAATAGCAGAATACCACGTTGGAGAGACAGTCATGAAGATAGCCATTGCTGTCATACAGATAACCTTCAAAGGGATGATGATTCAACTGGCAGCTGATTTCTCAACAGCACCAAAAAAGCAAGAGGGAGATGATAAAATCTTCAATATGCGGAGAGAAATTAACTGTCACATTTATAGATAGCAGAAATATTTTTTATAAAAAAGAACAAAACCAATATGTTTCCAGGCAGATGTGAACTTAAGTTTGACTCCAGTCGACCCTCGCTAAAGGAAACTATGTTTAGATTTATTTTTATTTGTTGTTTTATTCCTGAGGCAGCACACAAAGTTGAAACCAAAGGGAATTCTAAAAGGCATACTTTTTTATTCTAAAAAGCAGAATAAAAATGATCCCAGATAGATGATCTGAGCTCTAAGAATAAATTGTAAGTAAACATTAGTAATTCCACATAAAATTGATTGCATTAAACAAAAGAAAAACAAAGAAAAGTTAAAATGCATGACAATAACAGAAAGAAATTGAAAAGAGATAGGTGGTATGCTTGACAATGGATTATGGCTAAAGAGATAAAATAAATTGGACCCCTACCTCACAGCGTATACAAAAAGTCATGTCCAGGTGGGTAGAAGACCTAAATGGGAAATTTACAACACCTTAACAAGGAAAATACGAATACACATTTTTAACTTTGCAGGAGAAGATTTCTTATATATGGCAGAAAAAGTACAAATCATAAAATATTTAACTTTATTAAGAACTGATCAGCACAATATGCTAAGGTAAACAAAATGGCAAGCTACCAACTGGGAGAAGATATTTTTAATATAGTTGTCATTGGTTAAGGCAGTTTTTTTTTGTTTTTTTTGTTTTTTTTCAGAGACAGAGTCTCACTTTGTCACCCTTGGTAGAGTGCTTTGGCATCACAGCTCACAGCAACCTCCAGCTCTCGGCTTAGGGGATTCTCTTGCCTCAGCCTCCCGAGTAGCTGGGACTACAGGCACCTGCCACAATGCCCGGCTATTTTTTGTTGTTGTTGCAGTTTGGCCAGGGTCAGTTTAGAACCCACCACCCTCAGTATATGGGGCCAGTGCCCTACTCACTGAGCCACCTGAAGGCAATTCTTTAAATATCTAGAATGTTTCAAGAATTCCCACAAATCAAAGTATAAAAAAATAAGTAAACCAGTGGAAACAATAGCAAAATACATGAACATGTATTTCTAAAAAAATGAAAAACAAATATCCAGCGAACACATAAAAAGATTGCCAACCTCATTGGTGAACAGAAATACACAATTAAAATGAAAGTGACATACTTTTTCAAACCTGCCAGAGGGACAGAAATTTAAAAGACTGACAATATGTTGGTGAAGGTGCAGAGCAAATGGAACCCTTGAGGGTTGCTGGTTGGGATGTAAATTGGTGAAAGCCAGGGTGATTAGACAGGCACTCTCTTGTCAAGCTAGAGATGCACATACCCTTTGATCCAGAATGTACAAGTATGTTCACAGAACATTTGGAAATAAGCATAGCCTGGTACCTTCATACTCCAGGAAGTAATAAAAATGAGTGAATTATAGCTGCAACAGCATAGACCTATCATAGGCACGTAGTGGGAGTAATCAAAGCAAGTCAGTAAAATCCGTAGTCTGTAATTCTTATTTATACGGCTCAAAAGCAGGTGAGATGGAGTGATTGTTCAAATGTAGAGGAGGCAAAACTTCACTCTGTTGGGATTTTTCAGCTGGGCCTGACAATTAAATTTGATATAAAAACAGAGCAACAGTTTTTGGCTGGGGCTGGGTTTGAACCTACCACCTCTGGCATATGGGGCCAGCGCCCTACTCCTTTGAGCCACACAGGCACTACCCCTATATATATTTTTAATATATCTATTACATATATTGTTTTATATGACAAGGGAGCCTTCACAAGGAAATGAAGGTCTAAAGATCTAATTATTGCTGAACCCTTATATACTGAATTGGACTAAGAGTAAGAAATTGAGGACAAGTAATTAAATTATGTGGGAAGCCCAGAAGAAAATATTTTAACAAGGTCTGTACAGAATTTTCTCTGTCTCAACTTCTTGTTCTTGAAAATAAGACGGTTACTTTCCTTCTAGAATAGAAGGTGCGTCTTTTACATGAGAATTTTGTTTCCTGGTTTTTAGAAATGGAATGAAGGTCAGAGTGATCTTGCACCTGCTGTTTTCCAAATGTGTGTAGCTCAACATAGCATGCCACAGCAGCGCATTTGGGGGTGACATATTCTGAGCTCCTTCAAGGATACCAACACACATGATAAATTCATAAAGAAAATCACAGGAATGAGAAAGCTAAAAATTAAAGATTACAGTTAACAATGGAGAGGGGGATAACTGTGTCAAAGTGGACACAGCAAACTTCAAAATTAATAACATTCCTTTTCTTAGACACAGATCTTCATTGCCTCATGAGTCCTTAAAATTTACATATATTTTATAAATATCTTTCTTCTATTCAAATTTGATATTTAAAAGCTTTAGGCCAAAAACTGATATATATACTGGCTCAGCGCCTGTAGTTCAAGCGGCTAAGGCGCCAGCCACATATACTAGAGCTGGCGGGTTCGAATCCAGCCCGGTCCCACCAAACAACAATGACAATTACAACCAAAAAATAGCTGGGCATTGTGGCTGGGACCTGTAGTCCCAGCTACTCGGGAGACTAAGGCAAGAGAATCACTTAAGCCCAGGAGTTGGAGGTTGCTGTGAGCTGTGATGCCATGGCACTCTACCCAGGGTGACAGCTTGAGGCTCTGTCTCAAAAAAAAAACCCAAAAAACAAAAACTGATATATGGTATCATGTAAAAACCAAAGAAATATATAGTATGTCATACAAGGAGCAATTTGAGACAGCAGGAAGGGTTCATGGAAAAAAATGAGATTTGAACTGAGTAGATGTTTTTCCAAGTAGGCAGAAGGTAAGGGACATCCATAAAAGTTAAAGGATGGCAGTATTAGCATAGTGGATATTATTTGAGGGTTTAATGTATGTGCCCATTCTTTTATTCATCAATTATCTTTCACCCACAAAACATCAGTGGCTTTCAATCTGTGAATTCTGGGAAACATGGAGTTGTTTCTAGGATTATCTGGTATGGAGATATTTCCACCAAGATAGCAGAATTTCCAAGATTCAACCTTGTAGCTCCATCTTGAACTGGGGTATGTATTAGGAGTCTGAAAAACATGTCATCCAAGAGAAGTCTTTAAACCACTATATTAAACAGCTGTCATGTTCCAAGCACCTGGCTAGGTTTGAAGTATTCAAAGATTGATAATAAACTATAGCATACTCCTGGGGTGATTGGCGATTGCCTAGATGTGGAAGTAGTTGGAGGGCTATGTCGTAAATGCAAGTGAGGGGTGACAAGCTTTAGGGGGTTCTGCAGCAGTGGTTCTCAACCTTCCTAATTCCTCCCAATGCCACAACCCTTTAATACAGTTCCTCATGTTGTGGTGACCCCCAACCATAAAATTATTTTCGTTGCTACTTCATAACTGTAATTTTGCTACTGTTATGAATCGTAAGGTAAATATCCGACCTGCAGGATGTGTTTTCGTTGTTACATAGGGGTCGCGATCCACAGGTTAAGAAGCGCTGTTCTGGAGGAAAGAAAGTCTAATTTGGGGTGGGAAGGGCAGGTATCAGTGAAGGTTGCACAAAAAAGGCGATATTTCAGCATATCTAGAGGGTGAATGACCTATTGCCACCGAGATAAGGAAAGGAAGTATATTTCAGAAAGCAAGAAAACAACTCTAATGGTCCCACTAATTAAGGGAACAGGTAATTTATCATCTGTAACAGGATGCTTTTGAAAGTAAAAGGCCACTGTCAGTAATTATCTAGGGGAACAGGTATAAGCCCTACACTGTCCTGAGCAAGCCACAGTGGTCATTCTCCCTAAATATAGCATTCAACTCCAGGTGACTCAGAGATTTTTCAATTCTGTATATACTAAAGAATGCAAGAGGCAAAGGTTAATAGATGAAGAAATGACAAGTTAACTGGTCCCAGTTTTCTCTACATAGCCAAGTGTAAGTTCAGTAGGTTCCTAGATAAATAAATGATAAGTTAACTAGTCCCAGTTTCCAGTACATAGCCAAGTGTAAGTTCAGATGTTTAACCATACATGAAAACAGATTTTACAGCAAAATTTGGCACGTGGCTGCTTTGTTTTTCCCTAAACTTCGACCTTTAATTATCTTTGCTTTTGAAATGTTGCGTGTGTTTGTAGACATAGGGCTTGCCTTGCTATTTAAAACCAGTGGTGGAACAGAAACCTATTCGGTGTTTAGAGATTGCCAGGAAAACTGAGAGGAAGACTTTTGATCAGACGTGCCAGCAATCCATTGCAGCCTTCTTCGCTGGTCTTTCTGCCTTTGGGCAGTTTCCCTGTGACATAATAGCAGCCTGGTACTTGGGAGCTGAAAAAAATAAATAAATAAAAATGTCTCTTGTTGAAGGAACGAGCAAGAGAAAGAATGGCGAGATCAGGCATTTTCAAACACCTTTCTGGCTGAACTTTTTCAGTCTTCAGGCTGACTTTGAGGGGGAAGAAGAACAAGTAGGAGAAATTCCAAAGTGAGCTCTCCACGGGGATCTACAGTGCTCGGTTTTCCCCTCCGAGAGGGCAGCTGACCTCTCCTCTTTGTGTTTATTCCCTCAACTGAGCCTGCTCTTTTCATTGTTTCCTGCCCCTCGATTTTGAAAGGAGTGACCCAGACCCAGAAAAATTTAAGAAGTTTTGATTCGTGCCAACTTCCCTCGAATGAAAGTTCCCTCAGGACACATGACATTACTTAATGTGCTCAGCATCCCTTTCCAGACAAAAGAAACGTTCAAGTACTCGGTGGGAGTACCTTTGCTCTGAGGTTTATATTCGACTGAGTTGGCAGAAAACAAATCCAAAGTCACACAGGCCCTGCCTCTCCCTTAGTGCTAAGTTCAAACAGTTAAGAAAGTGGGTTTCGCTGTGGCAGAACCCAGAGATACCTTCCCAGCAGAGCCACAAAATGATGCCTTCCGGAGCTTCCCAGTGTGGGCGTTTGGCTGTGCACAACCCCACTCCCTGGAGAAGAGCTGAGTTGTGATTTCCCCAGGGGATTCAGAAATCAGCTTATGAGACTCACAAATTTCTCTTGGCCCTTGGGAAAATCTGTTTGCTTCAAAGGAGCATTGCCTCGATAGCGCCAATCCGTAAAACATTCCTTAAACATTGAGAGTGAGTTGTGAACTTTGCAGGCGTGTTTCAGTACGCCACGGGATGAGGAATCGCATGCAATCCACATTCAGTGGGAATGAGCAGTGACGGCATCTCAGTAAAACGTGCCCAGCGCTTTGTAACAGAGAATCAACTGCATTGCACAGAAACCGCTTTATTTTCTAAATAATCCCTTTTCCTTTGCTATTTGTATGTAAAAGCAGCTAGTAAGGGAGATGAATGGACTTTCTGCACAGCATTTGGGGTGAGATGACGAGGGTAGACAAACCCACAGAGGTGTTCTCATTGTCCCCACAACCACTTTTCTAAAGAGACTGCCATGGTCCCACTCTTCAATTCCACACTCTGCTTGCAGCTCACATTATATTGCAATTTCCTCTTTGAGTTCTTAGATTTGTCACATTAAATTGCTCTACTATCATTTGAAGTGAGAGTTATGGCTGAGACGTGATCAACTGACTCAAAAAAAACAAATGTCTCGGGCAGGCAGTCAGTTCTCGAGATCCATGTGCATATAGAGCTGCTAGAATATGACCCGGCTGTTCTTTCTTTATTGCTTATTACTTTCTTGTCTGTGTCAGAGCACAGAGAGAAATACTGTGGAGCCTAAAAATATTGTCGGTTTCTAATACCCACCTTCTTAGAAGCAAACACATAAAGAGCTATCTCCTATTTCAGGCTCTGGCCCACCCTTCTCACCCTCTTGCTTCTAAATTTTTACTCCTCAAAGATTTAGATGTGGATAAAATATGCTGCTGTGCTGTGGTGCTCTAGAATGCTTCGCAGATTGTATATGCTTAAAAATATCCAGCAAAGAAGCAAAATATTTAGTCAATTAAATTCAACAAGCACTTATAGAACACAATGAGCGTGTCATATTTGAGATGCTAAAGGGAGAATACAAAAGATTTCAGCAAATTATCTGAAGGCAGAATTCCTACATAAGGAAACAGGAAGAATTCTATAGGAGATCAGATGAAACTTCGGTTAATTTTGACTAGGAATATCCAGGAAGACTTCATTAGAACAGGTGTCCTTTAAGACGTAGGCCACACCTCCTAGGGGTGGAGCACAAGTGTAAGAGGGCCTCCACCTAACAAATGCAGATACTGCAACCTAATTCTTTGTACCCTCAAATTAAATTGAAACAATAATAGAAGGGAAAAAAAGTACAGGGGTCCTCGAAGATTGGCTTTGAAATGGGAGAGGGGCCTCCACAGAAAGAATTATTCTTCTGTACGTTTGCTTTTGTTGATACCAGATAGCCAAACTGTTGAAAGTGACTTGCATTTTTTCCATTTAAATCCTTCTACATTGTGTATACACAACCGTACTACCTTAGAGTATTATCAGAGGAGGCACAATGAGTGCACCTGTGCACACACACATATTTAAATGGAGGTTTTGTCTGTTTGAAGGAATAAAATGTGTGTCTCTCATTCTTTATCCCTGTTGTTGCAAGGGATCAATTTCCTTTGAGCTCAGGGGTTCCTCACTTTTCAGCCTTTCAAGGTGAATGTTGTGGTGAGAGTCTCGATCGTACCCGAGTTTCAACTACACTGTTTGCCTTACCTGATATTCCGTGTAGGATTTGTGGAGGATGAGGGTGAAAACTAACAGGGGTGGTCCTTGAGTTGTATGAGCTCAAAAGTTCGTATGTATTTAAATGACTTCCTGGTAGGCTGTTTGGTTAAGATCATTTTTTGGTCAGTTACGAGCTATAAAAACAAACAAAAATGTCGATCTTGCCATTAAAGCAAGCTTTGCTGTTGAAATGTGTGTGTTGAGTCCCACAAAAACTAATTTGTTGTGCCAAAGACTATAGTCAAGATATAGGTGTTTATGTCAAGGACAACACAAAACTTGCTTTGCCTTGGTTATGAACATGGCCTGATTTGCCGTTTACTGGGATAGTTGGTTGAGTATTGGTGACTGAGGTGGTCTTCAAAGTAACCCATGATTAAGGCAGGTTTAGTCTCCAAGATCTCTAGATCCATAGAGTTTCTCAGCTTTGCAGTGAGGCCTTTCAATCCCACTAAAAACCAAATCAAAGCAACTTTGCTGCAATTTCACCGAATACTCAGCAATCTACCTGAAAATGGTATATTCTGTCATCTGTATGGACCTATTTAAAGAATGACTACAAACCAGAAAAAGGACTTTTTTGAGGATCCCTATTTGAAGAAAGTTACACAAGATGCTGTGTGAAGTCTGTGTGTCCCCATGTGAAACAAAACCAGAGGGTCACACTTCAATGTCATTGTTTAAACTACATGCTCTTTCTACAAGCATTTAAGATGTCACCATTGCTGAGTGGAGCATTTCTAACATTTGATTGTGCTTTAAAAATGGTATTTCATGCTATTCATAGTTTTTATATATTTTAGACAATTCAGAAATATTGATTAATATTACACGACTTTATCTACTGGCATTTTTATACTATAGGTGGAAGTTAAACGGAACAGATGTTGACATGGGTATGGATTTCCGCTACAGTGTTGTGGAAGGCAGCTTGCTGATCAATAACCCCAATAAAACCCAAGATGCTGGAACATACCAGTGCATAGCAACAAACTCGTTCGGAACAATTGTCAGCAGAGAAGCAAAGCTTCAGTTTGCTTGTAAGTAGAAATTATATCATGTTGCAAATGTTACTTTGAGTATCTGTACTATCGTACCAATAAGCCTTTAAATCAGTTTTTTTTTTAAATCCAACAGAGTTTGATTTTTTATATGATCTTCCTTACCCTTTTATCATATTTTGGAAATACCTTATTTGTGGGATAAATTATAAATCTTAAATGAGAAGATGTATGCTTCTGCTTTTATGAGAATTGAGTTAGATCATGTAATAATTTGGTTGTATAATGATTTATACACATATACACACACTTAAATTTATACGTGTATAAATGTATGTATACAACAAATTAAACACACAGTGGAACTGCCAGTTAATTTAGCTGTCAATAAGTGCTTTAACCATAAAACTAAGAGTTGGGGTGGCACCTGTGGCTCAAGGAGTAGGGCGCTGGCCCCATATGCTGGAGGTGGTGGGTTCCAACCCAACCCCAGCCAAAAACTGTAAAAAAAAACAAACAAAAAAAAAAAACAACAAAAAAAAAAACTAAGAGTTGGGAAAAAACCTAGGTAGTTAGTTAATCCTATAATTGTCTAATTATTTCTTGCATCATAGAGAAGGAGAAATTTTAAAAACAACTGCAATAATAACAAGAGTGGAAACATTACTCACTTTTGGTATTTCTAGTTTAGAGTATTTAAAAAACAAATCACCATCTCTTAAAACCACCCTTTAATAAAAGTCCAAGAATAGATGAAGGAAAGTGAAATTTAGAAATAACAAGTTGAAGATAAAATCCACAGGCAAGAGCAGTCAGCACACATTTGAGAGTAGAGATGCCTCTGAGGACTGATGATCAGCTGCATTTTTAAGGGCCTATGTATTTGCATATGATTACATATTTCTTTGTGTAAAATTCCAACTCATATGTCAGTGCATTACTGTCCAAGGTCTCATAATTACAAAATCTGTTGGCAGTAACACTGTAGGATATTCTCATTCAAAAAATCCTTTCTGGGAACTCGACATCAAATATACCTAATATCCAGTGCATAATCTATTATTGCCATTTGGTGGCCTTTTTTATTAGTTAAGAAATGAATTTTCTAAGTATTATGTATGGATGGGATTACAGGATTATTTGGTTGGTGAAAGTCTGCTGAGATAGTCTTCTAAATATTATCACAAGTGCAGCGTAACAGGAGGATAATACATGTCTGATTGAATACAACCAAACCAAAGTGTTGATTTCTCTTAGTCTAATCCCCATCATAGCCATATTTATTTTTTATCAATGACCAATTAATTTTGCGGGATTCATTTTCAGAGGTAATCATAGAATCATTGACTTTCAAAGTAGGCAGAAATCTCAGTATTCAAAAAATCTTTTAAGTCTTTGATTTTAAGATGTCATAGTGCAGGAAAATTTTTAACAACAGTAACACTGAAAAAATGGAGGTGGAAATAGTATCATCAAACTTTTGTCTAACTTAACATTTTAAAAATAAATTGCTAAGCCTGAAGTGTATCCTTTCGTAAAGGCCTGTTTTCCTACCAACACATCAGATAGTTGCTCATATTCAACAACAATCATTTATACTTTGGAATGGTGTAGCCTGAGGAAAAGCTCTACACTGTTTGCAGTGGGCCGGCCTGAGGACCAGTAACCGACATGCACCTTGCTCATCCCACTTCTGGTCTGATGCAGGCATTCCCTCCACCCTCAAAATCCTTGGCTGAGAATCATTCAATTTGAAACATTGTAGTGACAAGGAATTCACCTCTTCATGGCAAACATCCTTACCCACAGTAGACACCTCCGAAAATACAAAAACAAATTTGACATCATAAAATTGAGCCAAATACCTAAATTTCTATCACTTTAACTCTCAGTTCTTCTTATAGTTTCCTAGTTAATCTTTCAAATATGTGAAAATGTGACCATGTTGATCATCCCATATTTTTTTCTTTTTTTAAATTCTATTTTTTGTGTGTATGTATTTAGTCCACGACCATCTTCTTCACAAGTTATTTTAATTCATCAGTTAAGTTGTGGCCTTATAGAAATGTATGCAGTTCCATCCATGGGTCTTGACCTTGGCAGAGGACATTGAGATATTAGTAACCCATGAAGTCAGCTTCTTTTTCAATTAATATTATTTTTTAAAGCACCAACTTCATATCATAACCTGATTTTGAACAGTCATGTAAAATCTGAAAATTTATTTTGCCTACATTTCTGTCAATCCCGTGTTACCCAACCATATTATCTTATTAACCCAAATTCACAATATTACATTCATCCCTAATAAATTCACCTTATAAGTAATGACTTTTTGTCCCAGCGTATTTGAAATTGTTTGTTTTAAATCTTTTTTTTTTTTAATCTGACACATTGGTTTCCTCCTAGTTTAGTGTCAGTGGAATACTTGATTCGTGTGTCTCCATTCAAATAACTGGCATAACATGTCGACCAGGACAGGGCAGCGTGCCGCTAGAGAACTTCCCCTAATATGAGATTAAACCTTTAACTTGATATTACTGGGACACTCTTCTTCTTGTCCTTGTTGTTTTTAATGTAGTGAGAATCTTTGCTAAATACCTTGCTAGAATCAAGATGTATCGTTTCCACAGCATACATTCGTACCTGGTCTCTCCGGATCCTTTCTTTAACCATTTATCATAAAACAGCCGGAGTAATCTTTTAAAAATGTAAATTAGATCATTCCGCTTTTCTGCCTTATGCCTTCTACTGCACTTTGAATAAATCTCAAGTTCATTACCATGTTCTCATTTTAATTCCTCAAAAATGACAAACCATTTTTTGCATCAAAGCCTTGATACTTTTGTTCCCTTTGGCTGATGTGCTTTTCTCCTGATCTTTCACGGAGCTGACTGCTTACGACCCCGAGTTCCCAATTTAGGTCTGACCTCCTTGGAGGAGGTTTCCGTATCGCCCTGTCAAACATAACAAGCAATTCCTGTCCTCTCTCCTTCTCTGTTCTACCTACCTTCCTTCAGCTCTCTACTTTTATATAACAACCTCCACTATTTTATTTATCGGGATTTAATATAACCTGAAATGATTTTGTTTATTCATTTATTTATTCTCATTTATTATTTGACTCCCACAATAGAATCTAAGCTGAAAAAGAGCTAAGACTAACTTGCCCATCCCGTATGTCCATAAATTTAACAGTTTATATTTATTAATAAAGGAATTCCTTTATTAATCGCCCATGCGACAACAAAGAAGATGTATGTCTATGTTAATTGGGGGATGATGTGTCTTTATAAACATCAAAATTCCTATTTAAGTTATTTTTCTGGAGTTAAGCTTCTTGATCATCAATCTATAATTTGTAGAATTTTCCCTCATCCTTTGTAAATTAAAAAAAAAAAATCAAAAGACATGGCTTGTATCCAAAAATCATTTTTAATTGGTTAGAATAAAATGCTTTTCTTTGGTCAATAAATAAGGGTGGAACAAGACAATGACATCTTTGAATGGTACTAATTTCTTTTACTCCAAGTATTTTCATAATCATTGAGGGAAAATGTTGCTTTTTGATGAAATTTACTTCCCTTCACTATAAAGTGAGGATATTATATGGCTTTGTGGCTGAAAGGGACATCAAAGGTCTCCTTGCTTGTATCTTTTTAGAAATGAAATTGAATATTGGAGTAACTGAATTACTGATTGTTATTACACAGTTGTAACATAAGTTGCAGAGAAAGGAAATCTAGTCTGCACATCTCTGGCTCTCTTCTGCTTTGGTGTCACCTTAATTTATAAGGAAAACATCCCTTCGCCTTTATTTACCATGTCACAATTTTAAAATCTCTTTTATATGCTTTTTATAATGTCCTCCATGGGATGGAATCACAAGATAAACATTATTATTTCTGTTTTGTGATTTAAAATATTTTCATGCTATTTTTGTAGAAAGAATCTGGTAATGTTTTATATGAGCATTCCACATCTTTAAATTGAGTTAACTTGCATAACCGAAATTTCTAGTTAACTAGAGATGATGCTTCTCAGAACTTGCTCCTCCTCTGACTTTTTTCAGTTAATCTATTTAGAATAGAAATCCTTCCTTAATTAAATAGAGGTAGCATAATTAAGTCCCCTTTGATGAGATGTGGACATTTGCATGAGCATAAATTATTATAATATAATTTGGGGCACATTTTATTTTTCAGTCCCCCTACATTATTAAATAGACTATCAGTAATCACTTCCTTTACCGTCATCAGTGTTTCGTTGTTACCAATACCCCTCTGCCATCTACTCCCTCCTTTTCATCTAGGGCTACAAAATTTGGTCAGTTAATTTGCCAGTGCCTGGCACTTAGTAACCTCACAATAATAACTGTTGAATGAATAAATAAGAGTTAGGAAGTCTTCATGCCATGTGTAACCTTAAAGAATGCAATAAGCCACTAGTTCCAGGGCTTTCTGCTGGCCCTTTGGAGTGCTTTGTAGACAGGTGCAAGCATTTCCACCCTGAAGTTATACAAAAGACAGTTGTAATTCTTTGTAAATGTATGTGTAGGGGTGGGAGGCGTTAGCCCCACCCCCACTACCCGCACACACATACACAAAAGATGTTCATGCATGGAATATATCAAATATGCCATCAAAGTCCACTTATATCCTAGAAAACCAACTGGGATGATGTCTGGCTTCAGTGAAGTGTTTGGAAATAGCTTTCCTTTAAACTCAAGCGTGCCTCTCCAATGCCCACCCACTCCACTCTCTCCTCTACACAGGAGGAAAAGCAAGTTAAATGTTTTAATTGTTCCATAAATAGCTGTGATAGAAAAAAAGATGATGTCGACAGCTTAATGGCAATGATGTTTCCAGAGGCCATGTCTATACAGAAGGAAGTGCTATGACACAGCCCCATGACACTGGCTGCCGCTTCTGAAGCCAGGTATCCTAATCTACATCTGTTCCAGAATCATTGTGCACAGTCACTCAGCAGAGAAATTTTTCTTTGACATATAAGCAAGGACAATAATTTTCAGAAATAAA